AAGGGGGGTGAGCGCACTTCCTCCGTGCGTTTATCTTACTTCCAAAGTGCGTGGCGAGTACTACTACCATACCTGTGAAGTGCGTCACACTAAGACGACGCACGTGCCCAGCACGATAATAGTGCAGGCGATCCCGAGCAACCACTGCCAGCATTGCGTCACGATCTTCGGCCTCCTCTAGCATTAGCAGCTGTAGAAGTCGATGGCGCATCCTTCTTGGAAGTGCCTTTTTGGAAGCCAAAACAGTGAATGATGAAGAGACTCGGTGCTCCCTTTTATATTATTTTGATTATCCGTGCGTTCCACTTCCGTGCTTATTACGTTTCTCTTACGTTTCTCTTACTTCGTAAGTACGGTTTCTGAAAACGTACGCTTCACTTGCAATACACGTATGATTATCTCACTCACTGTGTGCGACACGAGTACAGATCGTACGTGCTCCTTACTTCTTCCTACTTCCAAAAAAAGGCGTACAGACCACTTGCGGGCCCCACGTTTAGAGCACGACACACCTACTCATAAAGTACTTACTACTTCGTCCGCTGCGATTTAATTTTCATCCTGCGACAACGCTACGTCTGACGAGAACTCCGAGGACGCACGATCTCTAAGCACGCACGACGGGTAGTAAGAGAGGCTTTAGGGAGCTACCCCCCAGGCTGTTATCAGGTTATTGTTTACCCTGACTGTTTGTCCAACAAAGCTGGGAGGGCTGTTTTGAGCCTGCAGAGAACAGGTTGCATGGCCGTAAATAACAGTTAAAATGCACCAGAATGCAGTATTATACATACAGTTTTTTTTTAATTTTTCCACACCGTGGGAGGAGGACACCCCCTCCCACATGTACACCCCACCCTCTCGGGGGCTTCGCCCCCTCGTGTCCGCTTACTGCCCCCTTTGGCATTTTGCTCAGGCTGCGGCCCTGGTCTGTCGACTAAAATGAACAAGGTTAGGCCTACAATGCAACCACCAATTATTACGACCATTAATGAGGTTCTTTGCTACACTCCCTTTCTTCATGATCGCGAAACCCGTGGAGTGCTGTGTTTTAAATATATAAAAAGGGTGTCGCGAGGTGAAGCTATAATAATGAACTAAAAAAATACGATGAATATTTAATAAACCATGAAGCACGTAGCCTAGGCCTCTTCTTTGACCGACATCACATTTTTACATTCTTTGTTTTAATAAGAGGACGAACGTAGTCTAATTTGTCTTTTGGTGGTGATTTTGCTTGAAGTAGCGGAGTCAAGTAAATCGGTGATTTACCGTTGGTAAGAGTAGCAATCAACGCTCCTGCGTCCTCACAGATTACTCCTCATGATCACTTGCTCGATCGTGTAACTCTGGAGTGAAACCCATGGTTTATCTAACAATGGTTTATATAAATAAAAAGGGTGTCACGGAGGTGAAGGTGCTCAACTCATAAGAATAATGAACAAAAAAATACGATGAACATTTAATAAACCACGAAGCACATATGTTTTGACCGTCATCGCCTTTTTTACATAAGATGTTTCAACTATAGGGCAGATGTAGTCCAATTTGTCGTTTGTTGGTGATTCTGCTTCAGGTGGCTGAGTTTAGTTCATCGGTGATTTACCGTTGGTAAGAGTAGCAATCATCACTCCCGAGTCCTAACGGATGACTTTCTACCCCCCCCCCCT